AAAATGTAACCTTTTCATTGTGCTCACTGTCGATGTTTTTTTTTCAATGCATTGGTGTGGTGAGTGATTAATAAATATTCCTAGGAATAAAAATAATTAGATAATAACCGTTCTGGTGTTATCACAAAAAGAAAGTTTTATTTCAGAGTCTAATCAGATTTTTTAAATACTATCTTTTAAATACAAACTGATAAAACATACTGTCCTAAAAAGAAGAGTGATGAATAAGTGACTGTTAATAAGCTATCTGATCAAAAATTCCTTTCTTAAAACATATTTCATGATAAATACACTACGTTATAACTAGAATTTGTATAGTATTATACACATTTATTACTTCATATTCGTTTAAACACTTTTTTAAAGGTTTAAATTGCATAAATATGCAATGTTCGTGAATTACCTCTTTTACGAGGATATTTTATAAAGTAAGCTTATTGAACAAATTCATTATTACTATACTTTTTTCAAAATCAACAATATTTAAAACACATTTTAAAATATTCATAAAATAAAAATTTTTGTAATAAATCTTATTTGAACACATGTTTTAAATTATATATCTATAAAAAGTCTACTAAGAACTATAATTCATTTATTTGCTAATAACAAATTCCTTATAAAATAATTCTGTAAAAGACGTTTAAACGTAGTATTAAAACTACGTCAATTACACAAGGCAAACTACAAGACATTAGAACATTTAATATCGTCTTTAATGCAAGTTATAAAGTGAAGACATATTAAGTGAAACAATGTGACAAGCTTCTATCACGTGATCCACAACAGCATTGCAGTCCTGAATTCTCATAATCCTGATAACAACGACGCAGAACAAACTTTGGAACAAACAAAGAACAACTGGACAGTTAGCTGTAGATGTGACATGTCACAACTTGCACACTCGTCGGAATTTGGTTCCAAATAGTTTTGAGTTTCTCAATTTTTCTTGATGCAAGCATTGGTTGAGTTACTTAAGGTTGAAATGTTCAGGAGAAAATTCAAAGTTCGAGGTTAAATTATGCTATTCATAGGTTTGAATAGAATTATTTAATGTCATGCATACCCGGATTGAATAATTGTTGAATTCTGACATGCGAATTTTTTATTTTGCTGGTACAAAGGTAAAATTCAAACAACATTTTGAAAACAAATACATCTATGTAGATACATTAGAAAGCCTACTTTTTGAAGAAGGGGCGAATTTACGAATATCTTTCACTACGTAGTAAAACACGTTTGTTAAAACACCTTACATAAAAGATTACCCATACGATCTCAAAACTAGACGTGTACTGAGCTGAAAAATGCTAAAGGCTATATTTGATGGAACTAAACATTTTGGCAATTTTAATTAATTTTACGGAATGTCGACCAGCCTCAAAATGGATAATTGTAGATTCCACTTCTCACACAGCTTGTTTTCAACTGACACGTGTGGAATTTAATTCTGGAAATTCCACACTGAGCTAATTAATAGTTTGACTCATCATTTATAAACTACTAGAGCTACATTTTGGTTTATCCTTGGAGATATTAATTGTGTTGGCCCATCAAGTACGTACAATTTTTATAAACATGACACTTTTTGTTTACATGTTGAGAAACTTAATGGTTCTCGTTCAACAAGTCTAGATAGTGTAGTGAAAATTTGAGATGTATTATTTTTTATATACCATTACAATTACAGCTTAAAAAAATTAATTTAAATATTTATTCTCACAAAAACATTTATTACGCTCATATCTTAATTCATAATGTTATTTTATTTTAAGTTGTTTGTGTTTGGTATGGTCTAAATATATAATTTAATAAATCGTTTTAGTTTAAATATGTTAAATTTCTAGCAAATATTTTGTTAGCGCATATTTAAATTATAGTTTAATGCAACTAAGTAATTAATAATAATTTACACAGTAAAAATTTGAATATGAAATCCAAAATATTATCTTTTATTTACGGAAACGAAATTTAGTGAGAAACAAGTAAAACATGTATTGTTACTTTTATACAATCAGATTATTATACCTTGTGATATTTAGATTCTCTCGTTCATAATAATGGTAGATTGTAATAAAAAAAAATAATTATTTCAATTTTTAGGTTATAAAGAATTACATTTTATAAGTGTGAAAACATGATCATTTATATAAAACTTTCAAACTGCCAATATAAACTAACTACCTACATTCAAACTCAATACAATATATATAAATGTATTTTAATAATCTGAAAAATACTCTACTATTTGAAATATTTGAGTTTTATAACTAATTCCAAACTGTCCTAATGTAACTATTTTCAAAAAATAATTTATATTTATATTTTTGTTTTTGTGATAATATTGTAATACATCATATTGATTTAAAGTGTAGCTCATAAGAAGTTGAAAAGTCTATTTAGAGTATATTTCCTAGAAATGTATAGGTTATTTAATGTAGTAACAAATGTTTACATAGAAATCTGTTATTTTTAAATTTATAAAAAATTCTAGTACTGATATCACGAAAATGTGTATATTAACCTTAAAATTATGTAGGTATAATGTGACATATGTTTATATTTGACAATTATGAGAATTAAACTAGCAAACCTCTGGTTTCTGTACATTCTGTATACAAAAAAAATTTACATATTTTTAAGCTATATTGAGGTAGGTTTAGTGTGGACAATTTTGTATTTCTTCATTGTAAGGAGTTTTTTTTCATCGTAATGTCTAAAATCAGTAGTGGGCACATTACGTGATTCACCCTGTATATCACAAACAATATAATAATCAAAATAATCATAGTAACACTGGTAGTGCAAGTATGATGAGCTAACCCTCTATGAAGGTAAATAACTCTAACCTTCTCCGCAACTGTGGAACAACGTGTAAAGGTTATAAATAATTCCTCAGCTCGATAAAGGTAACGCCCAGTCGTGAATAGACCACCATCCACTCCGTCCCTTACACAAACGTGTATTACTTACTATTATAAAACAATTAAAATTATAAACAATCACAGCGATTTATTACATTAAATTATCAATGCTGGATCATCATTGATACATGTAATTATTATACGTAAAAAAGTCCTATTAAAGAGAGCTGCTAAGCAATTAAACTTTCTTTGCTCAAAATATATCTACACTCTCCGTTTGTTAAATATATTAAATAACGACTAAGGATTAATTAAGTACAGTTTTACATTAACCAAACACCTATATTTTGTATTGAGCTGTTTAAGCTGTTAGCTCTCTTTAATGCGTATAATACTAAATATATACATGAATACTTAAAAAAAAATTACAATGATAAATACAATATATCGTTAAATATTAGTAAAATAATAATACTTCTGTGGTGGGAATTGGTGTTATTTGTACAAAGGCAATGGTCAAACAGGAATCGTATAGGTAATTAAATCCACTCATAAGTAGAACTGTATGTATAACATTTCAAATGATATAAGTACAATTTATAATTGCACCTTATCCCTAATAGCCTAATATTTGTTTCAAATTTAATTTTAAATAGTGATGTTGTGTTACATGAATGAAATGGTTAATGATCGAATAGTCTAATTGAAAACAAATTACAATGATTAACAAATAAAATTCATAAATCAAAGTTATGATAAAAAAATGTTATAAAAATAATTATACTTCTTTAGGTGAAATGTAGTATGTGCGATATGTAGGAATACAAAGTACATACATTTTGAAGGGGAAGTTGAAATGCTTTCTAATTTCCAGCCTATTTCCTTTGTCATCGACTGACAGTTATTACCTCGATATGTGTAATACGGATATTTTAGTCTTTAGTCAAACTCACTTTTATTTAAATGAACATTTGTTTTACAGTACGTATTCGTGAGTTGGTGTTAATGTGAACGATCATTCATCAACTTTAAGTTAACCTAATATTATGCTCAAGTAGATTCACTTGTTTTTATTCTAGGGTACATGATCGGGTAGTACAAATAGATAAGTATGGTATTACTTATGTGTGTATTATTTTTGGAACTATGCAATTTTTTGTATGTAGGCTATTGAGATATTTTTTTTAATAGTAGGCCTGTGACATGAAGAACTTGATGAGAAAATGAAGTAAAGATTTTCCGCAACCTAATCCAAGATGACAAACACGAAATATAAAGCATCTCCACTTAACACCTAACCCTTCTTACTATTCTAGAAATCTGTCGAGTTCAAATTTTGTGGCACCTCGTCTCGCTAATTTTTATCACTTTCCTCCTTTAATAAAACTCATATTTTAGAGATTTTCGTTGCTGTTGAAAAAAAACCATAGTTTTCAATTTTATTTTAATATATGGTTTGATTAAAGTATTTAATCTCGGATAGCAGCAAACCATTGCAATCAACTCTAAAACTTTAACCTCAAACAGAAAAAAGTAAAATATCAAATTCACATTAAAGTTAACCCTTTCTATTCAATTCTCATTTCAAATCTTACCTTCAAAATTTATATACAGAATATACTTTAAATTAAATAGTTTCTTTGCAATATCACCTCTTTAGTATAGATAAACATCAGCATTTTGTTGATCGATGAATTGCCAAATGAACTGTTACGTTTTTTCCAAGCATATCCTTTTTATCTTTCACATTTTATAGGTTGGTGGCCCTCTTCAAAACCTCACTACTTATGTACTACTTTTGTACTACTTATGCACTACAGGCCTACATAAGTCATCGGTATGAGAGTGCAACCACAAAATAATTTTTTTGGTTGAACGTATCCAACACAGAAAGGGGTTAACCCGCAACATACAGCTGTACTGAGATTTATTAGCGCGTACGGGTATGCTAACTTTTGACCACACTTTTATGGGTTGGTAGTCCTACAAAATACCAACTGATTCACTGAGTCTAAATCAGTATTTACTTAGGTACGACGTTCGATAGGTAATCTGCGTATGTTTACTTGTTGTCTTATTTAATACAGATTGTTTACGTGTACTGTATGAAAGCAATATATTTTTGGGTTGTCTTACCTCTTTAACATTGACAAAGGTCACGACCTTGGGGTGGACTTTCCTGGGTTCCTGAGAGGGCTGTTTGACCGCCGACGGTGGTTGTGGAGAAGAGGGTTGTTCGCCAGTCGTGTCCGACATATTGTCACATCACTTTGTCACTTAACACTTCACAGTTACGATTATTTTAAAGTGGCTGCATTTGCTACATCTGTGGTGTGAAAAATTGTTGTTGTTAAAAGTTTTAAGGGGATAAGTTTAAACAGTGGGTTCTAGGACTTTATTAAGGAGGGGAGGGTTACCGGATTTGTTTTGTCCCAGGAGAGGGGTCCAGAGATCCGCACCCAGAAAATTTGCTATTTTAAAAGCAGTTTGGTGACTTTTAAAGCAATTTTTAAGGTCTTGAAATGTGTTGATAACCTCCGTTACATCTTTATGACGAAAGGTGTGTTTAAATTTATATTTCTAAAGGTCACCAATGGGGGAAGGGCTTTAGACCCTATAGCGCCAGCCCCCTTGGAACCACATCTGAGTTTAAATGTAGTTTAAGTTATTGATTTTAAGCCAGTGATGAGCTACAGTTAATTGCAACTTAAACTATTGAGGGTGTAAAAGGATTACTTTGGACAGATCTCTTTAGTCGAAAATTAAAGGGTTATGACAACTAGGGTGTATACAAAATCCCTAAGTAAATTATTTTGAGTGTATTTTAAGTAAATTATTTATTTCTGGAAATATAAATTGTTAAAACCGTTGACATTAGCGGTAGTTTTGACCAATTGACTATTGACATAACTTTGACGTTAGTAGTTGATATTCCCTGTTACATATGTAGTCGGTCTTAGAGTCATTTTAAATTGAATCAAATCAAATATTCCTTTATTGCCAGTTAACATAATTACATGCATGGCTTGCGTCATTAAGTAAATATGGACTAGTTGAATTGAGTGACATACGACGTGCTTCTGTCAAAATATAATTCGAACTCTGAAGACCAGATTGTATTTGTTTTAAATTTATAAACCAAACTAAATAAAAACTATAAATTGTAGTACCGGTACTCCTATATCAAATAGATCATCAGAGTATCATAAACAAACGGGGGAGTGTATATTTTACAGTCCAACAGTTTCCAAGTAATTAATTTAGTTGAGTTTTAATTTAATGAATATGAATTATTAAACTATAGACTGGAGTTCTAAAAGACCCTAGTTTAAAAAATTAAAATGGAGGTAGTCTAAAATATGAAATAACAGTGGTTTATCAGATAGTGTTTTTCCACTTTCTTACAACTGATATTACCACAACGAAGTTCGAATCACGTTAGCCTACAGGGTTTCCTTCCAAAATTTGCAGTTTTTGTGCTCAACAACACAACAACTGTTCACTTTAAGGTCTGCGTGTAAAGTTCCCGTGTAAATGGAACGGCAGTTTCAAATCAGCTAAATGTACCATCAAATATTCAAGCAAGTAACAATGTAACAGGAATGTACAGGGTTACTTTCTTTTATTGTAAATTTTCAATGTAAAGATAACATTTTTTTAAGTAATTCAATATGTTGGATTTATATAAGTAAACTTTTTATTTGGATTTAGAATTAATATGGGTGTCTTAAATAAATACTATAATCTATTTGTATACAACTTTAACACAAAAATGCGTTGTTCTCTTGGGAATTACACACAAACGTTAAAAGGAAAAAAACTTAACTGGTGGACATTGTAAATATAATGGAAACACGCTGTTAGTATTACAGTTGCTTAAGTGATGTAGTTTAAGTACATTTACCGTATTGATTTTCTTGTACAGTATTTAGATGCGTAAAATCACGTTGAAATCTTAACGTGAGTTGATTTTGTAGATTTTACCTACAGAATAAATATACATACAAGTTAGTCCATGAAAATGTATTTGATCAGGGACCTTAGCAATTAAAAGTAATATCTAGTTTTTACTATTTAAAGTGCTTCTTGATATCTGGTAAAATCCATATAACATTAATTGTACACATCATATTTATATAGCTGTAGATATTAGTGTTTGTTTCAAGGGGTTTATATGCTGTTAGTAATCACGTTTTACTAATCTTATTTTTATTTATTTTATATGCCAAGAAACTATAATTTTGTATTCAAATCTTTAAAATCCCTATTTAATACGATGTTTAATATTTAAGTTCTTACATCTTACATCTAGACAAACGAATCCACCTTTTACTTTACTTCATGAAATTATATTTATTTGAAACATTAGACCCCTAAACATTTATTTTTCATACACATCATTTCATAATACTCACAAAAATAATTTTCACTTATAGGTCAATTCAAATGTAATTCTAGTAACTGGTTATGCTTTAGCAGCAGCATTTTGTAGCTGTACTGTTCTAAGCAAATGCATCACGACACTCCTAACTATTCAGTTTGTAAACAACGTAATCTCGCACGATAATATGCAAGAGCACACAACAAGTCCCGTTCTAGGCCTACGACCAACTGATAGTGGTTTGTTGTGATGTCTGAATATAGGCGAGCCGAGCGTACCCGAACATCACCGATTTCAACCGAGGTTTTCCGAACGTAGCCAAACTTCACCGAAAGCACACGATCGGTTCCCGGACTAAATTAGAGGTTAGATTAGATTCGTTATTATGCATTTCTAATTGTCTGGTTGGTGTTTACCTTTTAATTGGCTCGCCCAATATGACCACGAATAATCAGGGAGTCAGTGTCCAGCAGATTAGCATAGAGCTAATTTACATGAATGCTTACAATTTACCCAGGCTTGGATTCTGATTAAATCAGCTGGCTGGATAATCAATTCCCCTTTGTGGTGCTGATTCGTCACCACTTTGTTTTACACCATGAGGAAATTGTGATGGTATTTGAAATCGAATGTTCCTAGAATATTTTTATACATAGTAATAATTTTGGATTTTCACCTGACAGGGTGAAATTAAAATAATTTAAGATATGAAAACATGTGTACATTAAGTATAATGGTCAAAAGCACAAGATAAATTTTTATTTTATTTTATCGCTGCTTGAAATAAGTGTTACAATATTAAACTAATTAACTAATCTCCCTTCGTATGATCATAGTATATGTATATATTTCTGCTTTAAATAAACACATTTGTGGTATCGGTATATAATTTTAATCTAAATTCAGCTATTTCAGGCTAAAAAGTTTTAATACCCTAATAATCGTTAGGTGAAAATCTACTTAAATTGTCCACTTGTATATGGGGTTTAAACTCAGTTTTCCATATCTTTAAAAGTTGTTTATTAATTATAACCCTTACATGTTAGCAAGGGTATTTATTTCGTAAAATTTTGTAATCATACCTGAAATCAACTGTGTAAAAAAATTGAAGTAAAACTATTTAATTTTTAAATGTAAACTTTATTTTTGTTTCTTTTTTGTTATACGTGTTGTTTGACGATGCTAGACTGAAATCAATTGAGTAGGTTCTCTGACAGAACGTTTGTAATAATCATAAATAGGAGTTAATTTTGAATATCTTATGGTTTGTTATTAAATATATTTTTGATTCTTAAGTTCTCACTCAATTAAAATACTATCCATAGATTGAGTCTAGAATATTAAAAAGGAGTATAAAAGTAGCATGTAATTGTATTCAGAGGGATTAGATAATTTCTATAATTATTTATTTTCTATTGCAACAGAAACTCAGATTTGAAATAATACGACGATGCAAATTAAAATTGAACTGTTTGTCACTAGTTATACACCAGCTAGTGCCTTAATAAGCTGCAATAGTCTACTGTTTTAGCACAGCATGTCTCTTTGAATATAAACTGAGAAAGGTCAGAGTTTATTCATAATGAGCTTTTATCATGAAAAACAAACGCTTTAGGCTGACAACTGGGGAATTTGTGTTTGAGCTAAGTCTGAAATGAAACTTATTACTGACCGTAACGTTTGACATTCAAGTTGTGTTTGCTATTTTATTATTTTTTTTCTTTGCCATTCTGCTACGCTACGTTATATTCTTTTACAAATGAAATGATAAAATAGAAAATATTCTGTCAGTTGAAGTTGCTTAACCCAAAAATATTACTGTACAGTAGAGATAGCTTTTTGATGGTTCGAAACTGGACCTAGCTGTTCCTGATCATTGGGCTTTAAATAAATGATCCTGACTAATGAAACAGCTGATCTTAGTCAGTAACAAAGCTACACAGATCATCTCACACCATTCTACACTCATCCTTCACTCATATTTGGGTTAAAAAACGCACCTAAGTGGCGTCCCCATCTTAATGATTGATAATTGATAATTGATAATTGATGTAAACACAAAACATATCGTAATTTTTTTATAAATTGATGAAAAAACACAGGACATAATTATTAAAATTCACAAAGCCGTACAGAATTTAAAATGAAATGTGTATTGGTAAACTAGCAACCATAAGGTAAAGCTACATCATCAATTGTTATTGAGACTGGGAACACTAAGCAAATTTGAAATGGCTGTTATTATAAAATAACATTGGTAGCTTAAAAAATATATTTAAAAATTGCTTGTATTCTAATCAGTGCTACAGTTTTTTGACTGTATTTACTTTTGTACATAAATTAATTACATTTTATAGAATCATGTATAATTGGTTTTACATATTTTTGAACAAATTTGGGGATTACTTAGCATAAAATATTTAAGTTATTGTTAACACTGCTGCTTCTAGCATCACAAATATTTAGTTTGCCCTCCACCACTATCACCATCAAAATAAAAATATGAAATACAAATTCTCATCCAAAAAGCTTGTGGTACTGTAATGAGATATCTCTGCCCACATGGATGACTATGTTGGAAACTGCCCATCAGAAGTGGAGGCACTAAGGTTATAAATCTCAACGGTAGTTTCGTAAACTGCTGATATTTTATCAACTGTAATACAGTTTTGGATAACATACCAGATGAACTAAAACTAACTACCACCAGGAAAATAAGCAAATGTCTTGAGAACCACATGGGTTGAAGATTATCTCAAGACTAAAACATAACAATAAAAGAATCGATATGTAGGCCGAATGCCAGGAAACGCAAAAATTAATATTTGTGATGACAGGAGCAGCGAAGTTTACAAATATAGATGGATTTGGGTTGGGCAATGTGCAGCCCCTTGTTGAACAACAATTGTATGATTTTAAATCGTTGTCTGTTCCTTTGGAATTTGCATAGATTTTTCATCATCTCACGAAAACTGAATGGCTAGTTGGACCACTCCCCTAGGCAAAATAAAGCCCGTCCTAAACTTTGGTCCATTTTACGCTTGACGGACGCTCACCCTTTAAAAACGATTTATTAAGTACTTCAAACAGTGCCACGCCTCTTTAACTTATCCAAATTTAATTAGAGAATTTATTTTTGCGAATTAAAAAAAAAAATCAAAAATTCTCTTTGGTTGTAGAATAGACCAACCCGAAATAATGAACATCCAGAAAAACTCAACTGATTTGTTACCACCCAAACTCATTTTTACAATAAGCAAACTAATTTAAGTGAAAAATTACAATCATTGACAAAGGTCACTTGTTCAACGCGTTTGAACATTATGTAAACATTCAGGATAGTTAACATTATTTAAAGGAAATGTAAAACCCCCGTTGCAGCAAACCTGTAGAATAAGCAAATTTCCATTTTCCTGGCTGGTTCGATGAATGCTTATGTATGCTCTACAGGAAATGTAGCAATGTATGGTTTTTTAAATAAAGGTTTGATAGGTTAGTATGAAAGAAGAAAATTTGCCAAACTCGTTTAAAATATATCTACATACAAGCATAATAACAGTTTAATTTTTTTTATTTTATTTATAGAGGTTGGCGGCCTCTTTATTCTCCATTAGAATAACATGGGCGGTTTTTATTAAAGTTTTTTTTTTTTTAATTTTCTTCGTAACGGTTACGCAAATAACAACACTTAAATGTACAAAACTATTTTTATTTTTAAGCTATCAAAATATATTTTGGAAGGAAATTGCAGAATTTACGTTTGGGGAGCTAAAGAAAATCTCAAGTTTTTACCCCATACAACCCCCTTCCTATAATAATAGTCTAATCATGCTGGATAGCGATTACTCAAATCAACGTAGTTTTAAACATGTTTACCAAATTTCATCAATATTGGATCTTTTTTTTTGCGTTTATGGGTACACATATATATTCGGGGTGTTAAAAAGGGCTCGGCAAATTTTACATTATGATTTATTGGGTGAAACAACCAAAACACTTTTATAACCATAATTATTATCTACGGTAAGGGAAATTTTCCAAAAAAACACATAATTTTGTAAATTATTTGTTTGTTGGTGTTTTGCATTTTACTTGATTACAATTCATAACGAACCGTTACCTACCCACTTCAAAAAAGTCGTTAGAGCTTGCAAAGAATTTCAAAAGAAAAATTATTTTTAATAAGGCTTTAAAGCTTACGGTATTATTATCATAAATAATTAGCTAAATACTAAATGAAAACTTGCATTTCGAACATACATTCATAAAATCTACCTTATAAATTAACAAAATATTTGCATACCTTTCAATCTCAATAATGGGCAAGTTGTAATATAAACAGCAATAGAGTTAGTGGGACGCCTAACAAAGTTGCATCAGAGTATTAGCAAAGTTTGAGAACTGTCATTACTCATGCACTTCTAATGAACCTCAAGACCATCTAACCGGCACCACTACTGGTAACGTTACAATATAGATGGTACCAATTGTTATTTTCACGAATATATTTGTTTAAATGTTTTAAAGGATGTATCGGGTTCTAATGATTTCTGAATTTAGAACAGCTATCCATTGATTTACAGCCTAATTCAAGTGGGACACATGATAAAATACCATGTATTCTCATTTTATTGTTTTTTAAGGTCCAAAAGTCAAAAGCAGCTTTTGTTTTAATACGTCACCGTAAACCGTGTGTTTTGTTTGATGAAACAAACATACATACATACTTGCTTATGTATTCCCAAAATCAATCTCGTAAAATGTTCCAATCCACATAAGGTTTGGATGAAATTGGTACACTAAAATAAATTTGAAGATTTGCGAATCAGCTGTTTCTAACCGTTAAAATCGTGATTGAAAGAAAGGTTTTTCGAAAATTAGTATTTCGGATACCAAAATGTTTAGAATTTAAAATATTTGTTTTTCTGAATAGGAATAGGGTATAATACTGAATAGGGACTGAACAGTGCAATCAATTTCACTTATTGTATAGTTTCATTTTACGCTTATTTATTGTTAGAAAATGCTTGACGATGTACTGAGTAATGTGTATGCCATGTTATTCTTCTAAAGATTTAACTCATTAATTGTAGTAGATAGGATTCTCGTAGATGTACAGGGTGATTGATATAAGTGTGCCAGCTGTTATA